TTTTGAGACGGAGTCTCGCTCTGTCACCAGGCTAGAGTGTAGTGGTGCGATCTTGGCTCACAGCAACCTCCGCCTCCTGGGTTCAAGTGATTCTCCTGCCTCAGCCTTCCGAGTAACTGCGACTACAGACATGCATCACCCCCCCAGCTAATTTTTGTGATTTTAGTAGAAATGAGTTTCACCATGTTGGCTAGGGTGCTCTCTATCTCTTGCCCTTGTGATCTGCCCATCTCGACTTCCCAAAGTGCTGAGATTACAGGCGTGCGCCACTGCGCCCAACAGGGATGTGGTGAAATTAGAACACTTGTACGCTGCTAATGGAAATATAAAATGGTATGGCAATTTCTCAAAAAAATTAACCACAGAATTACCATATAGACTAGCAATTTTGCTTGTGGGTATGTACTCAAAAAAAGTGAAAACAGGAACTTCAACAGATATTTGTACATCTCTGTTCGCAGCAGCATTATTCACAATAACCAAACAAAAAAAAAAAAAGAAGAAGCAACCCAAGTATTCATGGATAGATGAATTAATAAACAAAATGCGATATAGACACACAACAGACTATTATTTAGCTTTAAAAAAGAACGGAATTCTAACATGCTACAACATGGAGGGAGACATTGTGGTAAGTGAAATATGCCAGTCAAAACAGGACAAACACTATGATTCCACTTATTTGAGGTACCTACAATGGTCAAATTCATAGAGACAGAAAGTAGAATGGTGGTTGCCAGGGGTTAAAAGGAGGGAGGAGATGGATCATGGTCTTGGCTGTACAACAAGGTGACTGTATTTAATGTCACAGAACTATATACTTCAAAATAGTTAAAATGGTAAATTTTATATTATGTACATTTTACCACAATTTGAAAAAGAGACAACGGAAGAAGGAATGAACTGTGATTTGAACATGAACAAATGATTCTTGTGGATACTCACTGACCTACATAACTATTCAAGGAAGACAGAGAGGTGGACTGGAGGCACTACTAGTTTCTAGTTGTGAAGATTCAACTAGAAACTAGAACAGTAATCCTTACTGTTTATACTTAAAATTTTCCAATGGATTCATATTATAACTAGAATAAAATCCTACCTGGCCAGAAATTAGAACACTCATTCATTGCTGATAGGGAAACAACCAGGCAGCTCATCAAGATGTTAAACATTGTTATATATTACTTCACTCTTAGGTGTATACTCCAGACAAATAAACGTATGTTCACACAAAAATGTGTACATCAGTGTTCACGGCAGTGTTATTCATGATACCCAAAAAGTAGAAATAATCCAAATGTCCATTAATTGATAAATGGATTAACAAAATATGACATATCCACATGATGGAACGAGGATGAACCTTGAAAACATTACACTAAATGATAGAAACCAGTCATAAAAGGACACATATTGTATGATTTCACATATATGATATAACCAAAACAGGCATATCCAGAGACAGAAAGTAGATTAGTGGTTACTCCAGGCTGTTGAGAGAAGGAATGGTGAGTAACTGCTAATGTATATAGGCTTTCTTTTGGGGGTGACGATATGTTCTGGAATCAGATAGTGGTGATGGTTGTTGCACAATTCTGTGAATATACAAAAACTACCTAATCATTTTTAAATGGTGAATTTTACGATGTGTGAATCATATCTTGATAAAGCTGTTTGTAAATTTTTTTTTGAGACAGAGTCTCCCTCTGTTGCCCAGACTGGAATCCAGTGGCACAATCACAACTCACTGGGTTCAAGCAATGCTTCCACCTAGGCTTCCCAAGTAGGTGCACACCACACCTGCAGTCACGTGATCCTGCCACCTTGACCTCCCAAAGTGCAGGGATTACAGGTATAAGCCATCACAGCCAATCTGGATAAAGCTATTTCAAAAAACAATAATAAAATGCCACGTGGTTTCAACAGGCTATATGATTTAACCCTCTACAGAATCATCTCCTACTACTTTTCCCCTCACACAATACATTCTAACCACCATCTTCTGTCTATCCCTCAAAAAGATCTAAATTCTCTTCTGCTTTAGAACCTTTGTACTTCCTCCTGCCTGGAAGGCTCTTCTGTCAGGTTGTTACAAGATTGATTTTATGTCATAATTTGGGACTTAGCTCAAATATCTCCTAAAAGAGGACTTCCCTGATAACAATGAAAGTAGCTCTCTACCCTCTTCCTCCCTTACTTCTATCCCCTTAGCCTATTTTATTATTCTTTTTTTTTTTTTTAAATTTTTTTTTTTGAGACGGAGTTTCGCTCTTGTTGCCCAGGCTGGAGTGCAATGGCGCGATCTCGGCTCACCGCAACCTCTGCCTCCTGGGTTCAGGCNGCCTCCTGGGTTCAGGCAATTCTCCTGCCTCAGCCTCCTGAGTAGCCGGGACTACAGGCACGCGCCACCACGCCCAGCTAATTTTTTGTATTTTTAGTAGAGACGGGGTTTCACTATATTGACCAGGATGGTCTCGATCTCTTGACCTCGTGATCCACCCGCCTCGGCCTCCCAAAGTGCTGGGATTACAGGCGTGAGCCACCGCGCCCGGCCTATTTTATTATTCTTATCGCACTTACCGTCAGAAACTATCTTATGTGTTTATCAATTTATTGTCTATCTCCCCCTTCTAGAATGCAAGCTTCATGACAGCTGGGACCTTGTCTGTCTTGTTAAACTCCACGTTCCTAGCACCTAAGAATATATGACACATAGTAGGAGCTCAATAAATATATGTTAAATAAACAACAACAGAAATCAAGATCTAAGTCATTACATAAATTATACATCTTGGAAACTATTGTTTAAATAGAAATAATGTTAATTCGCTAACAAATCTCTGCTTAACAGTAAATATCAGCTACTATCTACTTAGCTAAGATTGTCCCTAAAGACCTCTGTTTATACCTCAGAGAACATGTTGCCTTCATGTGCATCAGTGGCTATTAACCAAGTCAGAGTTCTTGGTTTTGGGGATCTCTTTTCCCTTCAGCCCAATTCCCTCAGGTTAGTTCCGAAATCCTAGAAGCTCACCAGAAGACTTGAGCATTGGTTCGGGTTATCTGATTTCTGCTGTTGGATCAAAGTAAGAGGGTAGGCCAGGCTCAGTAGCTCATGCCAATAATCCAGCACTTTGGGAGGATCACCTGAGGCCAGGAGTTCAAGACCAGCATGGCCAAGTGGGGAAACCCTATCTCTACTAAAAATACAAAAAACTTATTCGGGTGTGGTTGTGCATGTTTGTAATCCCAGCTACTGGAGGCTGAGGCGTGAGAATTGCTTGAACCTGGAAGGCGGAAGTTACAGTGAGCTGAGATAGTGCCACTGCACTCCAGTCTGGGCAACACAGCAAGACTCTGTCCCAAAAAAAAAAAAAAAAAAAAGAAAAGAAAAAGTAAGAGGGTAGTCTAGTATAGTGCTTCTCCAATGTTAATGTACATACCCTTAGTATCTTGTTAAAAGACAGATTCTGTCAACATGGACAAAGCAGAGAAATAAATTAATTAATTAAAAGATTCTGACTCAGTCAGTACAGGTGGAACCTGAAATCTGGATTTTAAACAAGCTCAGATAATGCTTATCCCGTGACCACACTTTTTGAGTAGCATTGGACGAGACAATGAAGCAGTAAGTAGTAGTTTCTCATTCAGTATCTGGCCAGTATATACTAAACAAAATACAGCCCAGTGATTCTGCATTTGTATTCTATAACTTAGCATTACTATTCCTTCTTTAGTTGCAGAATTCCACATATAAAAGTATGACAAATACTGGGGCTAAAACTTTTTCAAAAGGAACACATTAATCATTGGAGAAACAGGATTTACATTACAGGTAATATTTATCACCAGTTTGTGTAGAATAAAGTACACATATATCTTCAGGTCACTTGGGACTCCAGCTCTAGACAACAGGGGAAGAGAAATTAAGAGAACATGAGTGTGAGTATCTAAAATCTCTGTCCTGTACGAACTAATTACTTATTAAACAGTAAATTCAGCTTGTCTCTTCCTGGCAGCCCTGAAAGAACATGAGAGTAGGATGGGGGATAAGGAGATTAACTTAGCAGATAAGAATTAGGCCTCTATTTCACAGAACTACCTCATACCTTCTCAGAATGTCAATTTTCCCAACTTCAAAATGAAAAAACAGACATCTGATGATCAGCATGCAGGTAATACACAATGCCCGTTCCACAGCCATTACTTGGCAATCTCACCTCTAGGGGAAGGTAGGTATGCTTTTGTTCCTGGCCAACTTGTAGGCAGGGCAGATGGGGATACTTGAGCTGCAGGTTATATTTCTGCTTGAAATACTGTGCCACTGTGCACTCCACAGTCTGTCCACTCTCCAGCTGTAAGGGGAATCTATTCGGAAGAAAGGAAGGAAGGAGGTGTCATAATCCAGCATTCAGTCCCACTTCTGTAGACCCACAAACATGGGAAGCCCCAGCCTTTTTCCTCTTTTATTTGGCCCCAATATGATGCGTAGGAAGGATGTCCCAGACTTTGCTTCATTCTATCCAACTTCTTTGAGCATTGCCACTCATGGGAAAACAGGTCATACAGGGCTCCAAGAGAGAAGCCAAAGGTTTGAGCGGCAAGTTCCACAAAAGTAAGGACACTATCTGACTCATTTATTTCTAATGTTGAGCATAAAGCCTGACACAGAGTAGATACTCATAGTCCAGTGTAGCCTAAGGTCAAGAATGGGGATGGAATCAATGACAGCTTCCCCAAGGAGCCCAGGAGCCTAGCTTTCTTTTTCAAGAGAAAGAATAATTTGAGAGAGATTCTAACATTCACCTAACCCTAACAGGAATCAGAGAACACACCTGCTCTAAAGGACCAAGGAGGCAAGGAGATCAAGAAGGTAAAAATGGTAGGGAGAGTATCAACAGATCAGAGAAGGCTGAAGAAGGATGCCAAATTCCCACAGCTTATCTTCAAAAACAGGGCCAGTCCCCAAGGCTCATTCTCAAGGCCAACGGGGGAGGGAGGGAAAGATAATGAGTCTGAAATCTCAGCCCTTCTCCACCAACAAAGTATGGCTCAGCACCCCTGCCCACTTACGTCTGATGGCTAGCAGGGCGACGGGTAACGTTACACACACGGTATTTCCTCTTCATCTGTCCACAGTGGGTCACTTCCACCTTCAGGCCTGAGATACACACACTGCTTGTCAGGACTAAAATTGGTTGCTCATGTTCCCAGGCTTGGCCTCTCCCCTGAGCATACCCCAAGAGGATTTCCTCTTAGGGCTTAAGTGGCGCTGTTTCCCTTCCCCTCCTGTTGGGTCCTCACCCTTGATCTCCTTGGTGAAGCGAACACGCTGAGAGTCCGTGAGGGGCTTGGGCTGCTCATCTATGTTCCTGATGTCCAGCACCTCACACATGAACTCAATCACTGGCTGTGCCTTATAGAAGGCAGTGGCTGAGACTGTGGGGACAGGGTAAGAATAGCTCAGCTCAGGTTCTGTCTTCCAGAATACATGGAGGCACAACAATTTATACCCTCTTCTTTATAGGGCATTGGGATGGGGGCAGGGAGTGCCAGGGCTATAGGAATTAGACTAGGAGTGTGGTTGCAGAGCTGGGAGGGATGAGGCCGGGAGTGTGGTCACTGGACTTGGGGTGCCCCTGGCTCCATAGCTCTCCCCACTCACCATCAATGTTGAGCATCATCTTCCACATGGCAGGGCGCACAGACTGGTGAAAGCCGAACCAGACCTCGCGCCCACCCCCCAGCGGGTGGTAGTAGCCCTCAGGCGGTGAGAAGAAGGAGCGGCCCACAGGGGTGTACCTGGCAGGGACAGGCAGAGAACTGGTCCCTCGGGCACAGGCCCCCACCCTGTGAGGCATCCTGGGCACGGAGGAGCCCTGGCCTGAAAGGCAGGACACCAGGGCTTTAATGCCAGCTCTGATGCTTTACCAGTTGTATGACTGACCTTGTGCAAGTTTCTACCTTCTCTCTGCCCTGCAGGGACAGATGGGATGAGGCCCAAAGATACCTAAGAAATTCAGGGCAAGGGCTTTAAACCATCTAAATGTAAATACGCACTTGCCTGGTAAGTGGTAGGGCTCAAACAATTTTTTTTTGAATGGCACACTGTGGGACCTTAGTATGTGCTTCCCCTCCTCCCCTAACAGCAATTCTGCCAACACTAGTAGCCCAGATACTAACTACACCCAATACCTCATGGATGCCAGGTGCCTCATGGCCACATCCAGGGCTTGCACAGACTCCAAGGGAACAGGGATCTGGCCACTGACCAGGGCTTCATGCAGCATTCGCCAGCTCACAATGGCTAGCCATTTGATGGAGACCTTAAAGATTCGATCCTTCCCTTCCCCAGGAATTGTCACCTCAAAGTCGACCTTCAGGAGGGTGAGAGAAAGGGGTGAAGGATTGCCATTGCTCTGCCAGAATGACCCGACTCCATGGATTTGCTGAGAATATACTCTCAAGTTGATAGGGGCTCATAATGAAGACTCCAGAGTAAGTCCAGCCCCTTAGGTTCTAGCCACCTTGGTTCAGTGCTTCTGTTCCTTTCAACTACCTCTCAGCCTAGCAGGAAGTCCTTTAAGTCTATTTTAAGTCTAATCTCAATCTGTTTAGGACACAGACAGGCACATGACAGACTAAATAAACATCAGCACCTACCCACCCCTCACCCTAAAACATACTTTCTCAGCACAAAAGATGAAAAGGATCTCTGGACCACCAGACTCTAAAAAGGCTTACATGAGATTGATTCTACCCCAGACCCCTGACACAGGCCTAGCCTGACTCCCAACCTTACCCGTTCGTTGCCAATGGGCAGTGCTGTGACAGTGTAAATGTTCTTCTTTCCGTCATACACAGGCTTGCGATCACCAAAGATCTGAGGCTTGAAATGCTGGACCATGTATTCCACCACTTCCCTGTGGGGGACAGGAGTGGCCTGTGGAAGCTGAGAGACTACCACCACTTCAAGCTTTTGGAAGTAATTCAAAGTCCAGGCAATGTCCCATCTATTATATTCACTCCTAACATCTACTCTATGACGGTGCTTCTCAAACTTTAACATTCCTATGAATCACCTGGAGATTTTATTAAAATATAGCTTCTGATTCAGCAGGTCTAGAGTAAAGCCTGAAATTCTACATTTCTAACATGCTCCCAAGTGACACTGCTGGTCCTCAGATCACCAAGGTTCTAATGGACCTGAAAGACTGGTGTGAGTGCCTTCTGAGAAGAGGGGGACGCTGGAGGGAGAAAGGCTTGACTCCAAGGTCTATCAAGAATCAGGAATAGGACTAGGTATGGTGTCTCACCCTGTAATCCCAGTAATTTGGACAGCCGAAGCAGGGGGATCACTTAAGCCTAGGAGCTTAAGGCTAGCCTAGCCAACAGAGTGAGACCCTAACGCATTAAAAAAAAAAAAATTTTTTTTTTTTTAACTAGTTCGGTATGATAGCATGTGCCTATAGTCCCAGGTGCTTGGGAGACTAAGGCAGGATAATTACCTGAGGCTGGAAGTTTGGGGTTACAGTGAGCTATAATCACACCACTGCACTCCAGGCTTTGGGAGGCCAAGGCGTGCGGTTCGCTTGAGCTCCTGAGTTTGAGACCAGCCTGGGGAACACGGAGAAACTCTGTCACTACAAAAAATACAAAAATTAGTCAGGCATGGTAGTGTGCAGCAGTCCCAGCTACTCAAGAGGCTGAGGTGGGAGAATCACTGGAGCCTGAGAGGCAGAGGTTACAGTGAGCTGAGATCATGGCACTGAACTCCATCCTGGGTGACAGACCCAGATCTTGTCTCAAAAAATTAAAACAGGCCGGCTGCGGTGGCTCACATCTGTAATCTCAGCACTTTGGGAGGCTGAGGCGGGCAGTTCACAAGGTCAGGAGTTCAAGACCAGCTGACCAATATGGTGAAACCCCATCTCTACTAAAAATACAAAAATTACCTGGGCATGGTGGCACACGCCTGTGGTCCCAGATTCTCAGGAGGCTGAAGCAGGAGAATCGCTTGAACCTGGGAGGCGGAGGTTGCAGTGAACCGAAATCACACCACTGCACTCCAGCCTAGGTGACAGAGTGAGACTCCGTCTCAAAAA